GAGCCAAGGCAGGTGGATCACCTGAGGTCAGGAGTTCAAGACCAGGTTGGCCAACACGGCAAAACCCCGTCTCTACTAAAAATATAAGAAAATTAGCTGGGCGTGGTGATATGCACCTGTAGTCCCAGCTACTCGGGAGGCTGAGGTAGGAGAATCGCTTGAACCCAGGAGGCGAAGGTTGCAGTGAGCCAAGATAGCACCACTGCACTTCAGCCTGGGTGACAGAGCGAGACTCTGTCTGGAAAAATAAAAAAATAAAATAAATAAAATAATACAGTATATAATACATATAAAAAGTATATATTAATTGACTTTATGTAATAATGAAGGCTTCCTTTTTTATAACTATTATAACACTAGGCTATAAGTGTTAATAGCCTCTTGGGGGAATCAGAAATTATACATAGATTTTAAACTGTGATAGGGGGTCAGCTTCCCTAACCTCCACACTGTTCAAGGGTTACCTGCATTATCATAAATCAAATAATTGTCATGAACAGGTACATTTATTGATTCTCTATCCTGTTCCACTGTGTAGTGTTTTTCTTTTTTACTTACACCAGTATCACATTGCCTTAACTAGTAAGTCTTGATATCTGAGGGTGAAGTCCTCCAACTTCACTCTTCTTCAAGAATACCCTGCCCTTTTGCATTTCCATGTGAACATTAGCATTAGCTAGTCAATTTTCAAAAAAGAAATCTTCTAAGATTCTGATAGGAAATGAATTGATTTTATAGATCACTTTGGGTAGAACTAGTATTTTTACCACATTGACCTTCTAATTCTTGAACATGGAATACTTCACACTTATTTAGGTCTTAATTTCTCTCAATAATGTTCTAAAGTTCTCTGTATATTCAGAATAGTCTCGTCTATTTTTCATTAAATTCATTACTAGGTATATGATAATTTTTGATGGTAAATATTAGTTTTGAAATTTCATTTTATAATTGTTTGTGTCTGGAATTCAGAAATTTTTTTACCGTATCCAGCAAATTTGCTAAATTTAGTTATATTAATTCTAATAATTTGGCTATAGATTGAGTTTTCTAGGTTCATAATCATGTCTTCTGTAAATGACAGCTTAAATGATTCCTCTCTACTTCCTATGTCTTTTGTTTCCTTTGTTTGCTTTATTGCACTGACTAGGACATCTAGTACAATGTTAAACAGAGGAAATAATGAGAATAATGCAAAGGGAAAGCTTTCAACATTTTACCACCAACTATAATAGTTGCTTTAGTTTTTTTTTTTAAAAAAATACTTTTTATCAAATTAAGGAATTTCTCTTGTATTCCTGGTACACAGATAATTTTTTAAAATGCGGGGCCAGGCGCAGTGGCTTATGCCTGTAATCCCAGCACTTTGGGAGGCCAAGGCAGGTGGATCATGAGGCCAGGAGATCGAGACCATCCTGGCCAACAAGGTGAAACCCCATCTCTACAAAAATACAAAAAATTAGCCATGCCCAGTGGCGGGCACCTGTAGTCCCAGCTACTTGGGAGGCTGAGGAATTACTTGAACCCTGGAGGCGGAGGTTGCAGTGAGCCCACATCGCGCCACTGCACACTCCAGCCTGGTGACAGACCAAGACTCCATCTCAAAAAAAATAAAAAGGGAGAATGGGCACAGTGGCTCATGTTTGTAATCCCAGCACTTTTGGAGGCAAATTTGGGAGGATAGCTTGAGGCCAGATTTTTAGACCTTCCTGGGCAACATAGAGAGATACTGTCTCTACAAAACGTTAAAAAATTAGCTGGAGACCGTGGTGCACATCTGTAGCCTTCACTGCTTGGGAGGCTGAGCTGGAAGGATACCTGGAGCCCAGGAGTCTGAGGTTACAGTGAGCTATGATTGTACCACTGCACTCTAGCTTGGGCAACAGAGCAAGACTATCTCTAAAAAAAAAAAAAAGATATTGACTTTTATTTAAAAATTTTTATATGTATTGAGATGACTAATATGTAGTTTTTCCCCTTCTTTCTGCTAACATGATGAATTACACTAGTTGATTTTTAGATGTTAACAACTTTGTTTCTGTCTACTCATGATATATTATTCTTTTTGTATATTGCTAGATTCTACTTATTAATCATTGATTTAGGAATTTTGTATTTATATTTAAGAGACACTGGCCTATATTTTCCATGTAATGCCCTTTTAAGTTTTGAGGATATGCTGATCAAGGATATGCTGGCCCCATAAAAAAAGTTTACAAACGTCCCTTTTTACCCTCTTGAAGCATTTGCATAAGATTGGTATTATCTCTTTTTAAAGAGTTTTTTATTTTTATTTTTTTTGGAGATGGAGTTTCACTCTTATTGCCCAGGCTAGAGATGGAGTTTCACTCTTGTTGCCCAGGCTGGAGTGCAATGGCATAATCTTGGCTCACCACAGCCTCCCAAGTTCAAGCGATTCTCTTGCCTGAGCCTCCCAAGTAGCTGGGATTACAGGCATGAGCCACCATGCCTGGCTAATTGTTCGTATTTTTCGTAAAGATGGGGTTTCTCCATGTTGGTCAGGTTGGTCTCGAACTCTCAAGTTAAGGTGATCTGCCTGCCCTCAGCCTCCCAAAGTGCTGGGATTACAGGCATGAGCCACCACACCCAGCCTTTTTAAGTGTTTAGAATAATAATTTGAGTACTAGACATTACATAGGAAAAATTGGGCTCTATTGACCTCCTATTTGTATCCATTCTTAGAGAATATCCCTCTAGGTGCTCTAAGAGCCTGGGTTTTTCCCTAAGTTCCTTGCTACTTAGCACTGCAATTCTTCTCTCCAGTACCATGTGACTGGGGAAAATTGCTGTTTTTCAGATGTTTTCTGCTTCATTTCTTAGTCTATGGTCTTGCATAGCTTGGTCAGCAAATACCTCAACGAAAAAACCAAAGCAAGATGTTAGGCTTATTTCTTTGCATCTGTCTTCACTCTGTGATCTTGACCCTTTAATTTCTGGCTGTCTTGGCAGCCCACATTCCATAGCTCAATTTCTGTCTCTCCAGCTTTATGAAATTGATTAAAGTCCCCCTCATTTATCTGCCTCTTAGAAACTATCTAATGCCTGTCTTCTCAGTCTCTTGCTCTACATTAATGTTAAATGCCCAAAAAGAAAAAGAGTGTGTGGAAAGTGAATTCATTTCTCTAAGTGTTCTCTCTAGGATCTGATTCTCAAGTATTAGATTTCTTGGCAGCTTTCCAAAACCCTCAACTAGATGTTTGTTTATATTTTATCTAGCTTTTCTCAATGGAGGTGCTGGTTTGGCTACAAGATACTCCATTATAGTCAGAAGTGAAAGCTCATGACATTTATTTAATTGTTAAAACATATTCTCATTTTCAATGACATGTATTTTAAATAAATATACTTTAATATACAAATAAATCTGAAATGATAGGTCTATTCTAATGTAGCAAGGTAAAAAAGACACATCTATTTAGTTTGAATTATTAGAAGTATATTAAATTTGCATTTATATACCCAACACAGTTTTGTTTTGGTGATGAGAATCATAATATACTTTGTGATTTTATTACTTATTAATATGTGGCCAGTTACATACATTGCTAGTCATCCTTAAAGCATTTATTCAGCAGTTACTGTACATAATACTGAATTTAGTAATGTATAAGACATAGTCCTTTCTTTAGGGAAGTAACAATATAGAACAACAAATAAAACAAATAAGTATAAAAATGATATTATATGGTAGTATGAAAATATGTTAAAATAAGAATACAGAAAATAGTGCTATAAAGTTAAATTAACAGTTAATGTATACTCCAGAAGCTAAAATCACTAAATTGCATGATAGAAAAAGGACCTTAGACAACATCTAGTCTGACACCTTAATTTTATAGCTGAAGAGACCTTTTCTAACAAATTAAATGACTTATCTACAGCAACAAATATCATAAGTGGCAGAATGGAACTAGGACTCTGGCATCTCAGTCCTGGCTCAAAGTAACTTTAAAAAAAGATGTGACCTTAAGAGAAGGGAAAAGTTGCAAGGGAAAGGGACTTGAGGCAGGGAATACAACAGCTTCAAAATATGATCAATTTAGTTGCAGCAAAGCATTTGGGTTGAAGACAGGTAGAAAGTAGGATTGAAGGAACAAGGGCTGAAGTCATGGATAACTTAGAATGCCAAGCTGAGTTTAGACAATGGGAATCCCTAGAGGGTTTGGGTAGCGATATGATGAAACTGCTTTATGGTAAGATTAATTCTGGGGTAGAACTCAGTGTAGAAAATGTAGAAGGAAAGAAAGGCAGAGATTTTAGTAGTCTAGATGTGCAGTAAAGGCAAGGGAAATAGAAAAGAGATGTATGAGAGAGTTTGAAGAAAGAATTGCTAAGATTTTATGACTAAATTTAATGAGGTATGATCACATTCAGTTTGGAACATGTTAAGTTTGAAGAGATGACACTACATTTAAGTATAGAGGTACTGTAGAAAAGGACAGAAATATCAGAGTAGAGCTCAGAGAAAAGATTAGCATTAGAAATGTGAATTTGACCAAATATCATAGAAACTATTATCCACTGCCTGCCTTTACTAAGCTACAGTATTAACAGCTTTTTCCTTCAAGTTTTTAGATCAATCAAAGATAAATACAATTTTCTACTTTAGATTACTAGACCATAGTTTTCACAAAGGGATACTAATAATAGCTCATAGTTTTTGAGCATTTACTATATGCTATGTACTGTACTAGCTACTTTACATATATTGGCTCATTTAATCCTCACAACCATTCTATAATCATTATTTCCATTGACACATGAGACAGACAAAAAGGTTTGGACATCTGCCCATTGTCATACAGCTGGTTAGCAGCACAGCCAGGATATGAACTTAAGCAGTCTAGCTCTTCTTAACCACTATACTGCTTTCACATCTAACATATATGACATCTCAGCAAATAATCATACTAAAATCATTTAGGATTAAATTCTCCTTCATCCTACAAAGCAATTTGCAAATGTTGTAATGTACTTACTTGTAATGTATTTGTATCCCATACTTTCAGAGTTTTATCAAATGAGCTTGATGTGAACATACCAGTGTCATGAGGATACCACTGTACAGTTTCCACACTGTATTTGTGAACATCAGGATGATATCTACAAAACAACAATCAAAATTTACAGATAACTGACATATGTGAGTCTCAAAACTGGTGCTGTATTAAGAACAAGTAGTAGTCTCAGGTAGGATGATGTGAATGGTCAAACTGAGATCACATGCCTGTGTCCTAGTTATGTAGAAGGCGAGAAAGAACATCCAGGCATCTCTGGGTTCAGGCTCCTATAGTGTGATGTAGAGGTGTGCCTCCTACTAAGGGTCATAATATGGGAGATTCTCTGTTTCTGTACTATATATAGGCTGAAAGGATCGGCCAACTATACTGGACTTCTTTCATCTTGGAAGGAGCAGTAATTTGGTCTTACTGGAAGAAACAGCTGTTTTGGTTTTGGATTTGCTTTTCCCAAGTCTCATTCTATTAGCACTACTATTCTTAGAAATGTTGAATGCCTCACACACCTCTACAGTATTCCACACAATATTGCTTTTTATCAAGGAACTTACTCTCTGACCAAAGAATGCAACTGGTGGAGGCCCATGAAATTCACATCTACATAACCCGTCTTCCATAAAAACACATGTTGAAGACTCAGTTATGACGTCAGCTACAATACACCACCTTGGGAGGGTGGTATGCTGTCCTGAAGGATGTAGTATGCTCTGAATCAGTGGCCAACACAGTGAGTTACCTAACTGAATCTTGGGTCAAACAAACTGGCTGTTAAGAGAGATTTATAAGACAAAGAGGGAAATTTGAACACAGACTGGATATTTAATATGGAGAATTTTTGTGTAAGATAATGGTACTGTAGTTATGCTTACAACGTATCTTTTAGAGATATAAATAATTATGGATGAAACTACACATTGTTCAAGATTTACTTCAAAATAATTATGAGGGTGGATGGGTAGGAGGTAGAGATGAAACAATATTGGTTATGATGTTTGGTGAAGCTGGGTAACTGATACACAGGTCATTATACTATTCTCCAATCTTGTAGATGTTTGAAATTTCCCATAGAAAACAAAAGGTAACAGAAGCCTTCTGTAACCCTATGCAGATACAATCATGTTGCTTTTGGATTCCTTATGATGAAGGTTTGGGACCTTAAAGAGCTGTGGCGCTATCTGAAGGAATGAGAACATGAAGAAGGAAAGTCTTAAGTGCCAACTCCGGCATTAAAACAGCTGTAAAAATACAAGAACTATAGCGCCTACTCATATTTCCTTCTTTTCTCTAAATATTTATATATTTTAATAATTTCCCCATTCTTTCCTCTCTTACCTTTATTATTTTTATAGGTTAACTATAATTGAGTCCACAATTGTATAATACTGATATGGGATAAGTTAAAATAATGAAAAATGAACATGATCTTGAAATGGAGCCAGGTATGGAAAACTCCACTAAGTTTTCCTGTAAGCACATTGTTTTTCACTTACACAGTGATTTTAGTTTTCAACTTAGGGTCATCACCCTTTGCAGAAGAGGATGATCACCTTTTGGCTGTATAGTGGAGACTTACATTAGGTTAGGCTGGAACATTCTTTTTTTTTTTTTGAGGCGGAATCTTGCTCTGTTGCCCAGGCCAGAGTGCAGTGGCAAGATCTCGGCTCACCACAACCTCTGCCTTCTAGGTTCAAGTGATTCTCCTGCCTCAGCCTCCCCAGTAGCTGGGACTATAGGCATGTGCCACCATGACTGGCGAATTTTTGCATGTTCAGTAGAGATAGGGTTTCACTATGCTGGCAAGGCTGGTCTTGAATGCCTGACCTCATGATCTGCCCACTTTGGCCTCCCAAAGTGCTGGGATTACAGGTGTGAGCCACTGCGCTCGGCTTGGAACTTTTTTTTTTTTTTTTAAAGGGTAAGTATGGGAAGAAAGGTATATATACATCCTGGACAGCCAAATGGGTGGATTGTAGTGGACATGTGCCTTTCTTCCTTGGCTGGTGAGCATTCAAACTCTTCCTATTTGGAGAGAATCCCCTTCGTTTTATTAAAAATAAGAGCTCTACCTCTTATTACAGAAAGCAAGGGACTCTAGACCTTCTCTTTTCCTGGGAGAGTTAGCCATTATTCAAAGTTGAGGAGTTGAGAGTCTGTGTTGGTGACATATAGCAAAACCCAACCTAATCTTCCTGTGGTGTGACCTATCCTGACTTCTCTTGTTTTCTGCTTATTTTCTGAAACTGATTCTCCCATCTTTCTGACAGTTATGTGAGATATTAAATATTCTTCCAATAAATTTCCACTTAAGCAGAATTTCTTTCTTTCTGCTCCTAAGAACACTGACTTCTACAGAGATTTTTCCAGTGATACTAGTTTTAAATAAAACAAATCTTTAATGTAGTGATCACAAAATAAAATCTCACTTATATTTTAAGTTTAAATTTTAAAATAGGATAAAATATTTTATTATGTTACTATATGTTCTGTTGTTCTCATTTACATTTAATAAGAATTTTGGTAGAGGAAAGGAATCTTCTTAGTGCCTAAGGACAAACACATTAAGTATACTAACAATAAGTATCAAGAAATAGTCTAAGCCACATTAACTTAATAATATTCTTTATTGAAATTATTTTTAAATAAGATTGTAAACTCTTCAGATGTATAAAAAGCTATAACAGATTTTGTAAAGATGCGTACTATATGATGTCCATTTTCAAATTCAAAGTCATGCTTTTAAAGATAGAGTCTGAATCCAAGAATAAAAATCATATTAAGACAAGAATGACACATTAGGCATTTACTTATGTCACATGCCAAAATAAGCAAATCACAGTCCCTCATGGAATATTATATAGCACATGGAATAGATGAAAATACTATTTTGCTACGTAACAAAATAAATTTAATGTTAAAATGTTAGCTGGGATAAAATAATATAAAAATGAATTAAATTAATTAACATGACTTTTTTTGTTATTGAGGGTGGGAAGAGAGTATAAATGGCCTAAGACTCTAAATTCCAGAGTATTTGAGGAGATATCTTGTTTTGTACTAAGTTTTCCTGTAAGTACATTGCTTTTCACTTACACAGTGGTTTTAGTTCTCAACATGCTTTAAAAAAGATAATATTTCATTTAATTCTCATAGAAATGTTTAAGAACCATAGGGCATGTATACTTATTTTTAAAACAAAATAATCTGAAGCTGAGATTAACTGATTTCCCCAAATCTGTACTTCCAATGTGAAGCACCAGAGCTAAAAAACAATAGAAAAATCTCTCCACAAATGTTTCATAGCATCTATTCTAATGCTTTGGGAAAAACTGTAAAAGACTGTTAATGTTAATGTTTACAAAGTCTTCCCTCTTGAAACCATTTTCTTAGCACCCATTCTCCCTCTTAATTCAAAGGTCTGCTCATTATCAGATTGAATATAGGTGATGAGAAAGGATTAAATGACCAAAATGGAAAAATAATGTCACAAAACATTTTATTAGACTTAAAAAAATTATCACAAGATTGGTAAGCCAGTAGAGAATAGTCAGAGAAGACAAGTATTATAGAAGTATGTTTTTAAGTTAGGCATCTTTGATAAATAGAGACACGAGAGAGGGGTGAGTGGGTATATGTGTATGTATGTCTTTGGTGAGGGAATGCCAGTATGTTTCATATATCTAAATCTTTTCTTCCATTAGTATCAGTTGAAAATATAATTTGTGTTTATAATTAGCTGAAGGACTATAAATGAATCTTATACTAAGAGGTACTAAAAACTCTTAGTTACTGAGATCTGCTATTTAGGTATAGAAAAAGAAGGACATAATCAAAAGTTTTTAAAAAACAAAATCCTTTTCAAATTTGATACCAAAGTTGTTTTGGGGAAGTCACATGTTAAAAAACTGTACCTAAATGTCAGTTACTATTTTTAAGAAAGTGTCAAGGAATAACCATGCAAATGTGTCACTTGAACAATTCGCTTGACTCATTCGCTTAACTTCTACTTTCATGTTTTGCATTTGATGCAAAAAATACTCAACTATTTATAAACTCATACATTTTTACATTTTTAATACATACCTGTCAACGGAACACACTGCTTTACATGTGTAATAAGGTTGTCTGCTGGAGTTCTCAAGGTCATAAAGTACAATCACACCATCTGAACCACCTGATAACATGCTGATAATAAAAAAAGTCCACATTAATTTATCATTTTATGTAGTCTGTTTATGATTGCAAATTTCTAAAAGCTGATTTGCAAACTCTCAAATATATTAAGGATATGTTAGTTTGCAATGAGTTAATCCTCAATAACAGACTTAATAAACTAAAATTTCTTAATATTTATAGATGAATATAAAAAATTCATTCTGTGATCATTTCAAGTTTACTTCAATAACTTCAAAAAGAAAGAGTGACAGAAACAAGATGGCAAGAGATTTCTTTTTTTAAATATATATTTCTAAACGCAGCATGACTGTGAAAGAGATTTCTTAAGAAAGTAAAATATTACAGTTATTTTAAATGTCCTAATTTCGACCCTGGGCAAGTTATGCCACCTATCTAAGGCTTTCAACATTTGTAAAGGAGGGGGACATTTTTACCTAAATCACAATGTTGATAATAAAACTTAAGTGCAAAATTCTTTTTATAGTACCTGGCAAAAAATAGGGGATCAATAAATGTTTTTTTTTTCTTTTTTTGAGACGGAGTTTCGCTCCTGTTATCCAGGCTGGAGTGCAATGGCGTGATCTCGGCTCACCACAACCTCCGCCTCCTGGGTTCAGGCAATTCTCCTGCCTCAGCCTCCTGAGTAGCTGGGAATACAGGCACGCGCCACCGTGCCCAGCTAATTTTTTGTATCTTTAGTAGAGACGGGGTTTCACCATGTTGACCAGGATGGTCTCGATCTCTTGACCTCGTGATCCATCCGCCTCGGCCTCCCAAAGTGCTGGGATTACAGGCTTGAGCCACCGCGCCCGGCCTCAACAAATGTTAGATTCCTTCCTTCTCTTATGAATGCATTCACTCAATTCATTCAACTTTAAGTTCCTACAATGTTAGGCACTCTGCTAAAACAACTGTGAACAAGGCAGGCATGGTTTCTGTCGTTGCACAGTTTACATTCCAGGAGAAAAAACAGGTAGTATGCATAATCAAACAAAGTATTAGTTATGATTGAGATCATTGTGACAATAACTTATTTTTATTCTAGTGTGGAAATTCAGGAACAGTTTCCCTGATTCTAGTATTTAAGCTAGCACGTGAAGGAGAATTCAGAGTTAGCCAGAAAGGTGTAAAAGCAACATTCCAACCCCACTCTAGCAACCAAAAAAAGGAAGTGTTGCTAGAAGAGAGTAGAAGGGAAAGGGTGGTGAGAGATGAGAGGCAGAGGTCAAATCACTGGAAGCCTTACTTTTGAGAGTAAAAGATGATGCTAAAAAATAAGCAGTATCTTTTTCTGGAAACAATTACTGACTCACTCTAGAGCTGGTCTATTATATTGGTAGAATGTAAAAAATTATTCTATTCAAAAACCTTGCAAAAATATTTCTAAAAAGTAAAAGTAACAAGCATATATACTAAAGCTACATACATTGATTGAACTTAATAATTTGTAAACCTCATTCTTGGGACTTCCTATAATTTAATCAGTTTCTTACCCTTACTTGTCTCTAAGACTGTTACTTGTATTTTTTTAATGGAATTTTTTAATATGAACTTATTTGTTTTTTGCATAAAACTGTCTAAAATCATCTTTAAATCTAGAGTTGTTGCCACCTTTAACTGACTTCCCTAAAAGCCATAATATGTTTAATTTAGGAAATAACAATAGATGATGAGATACATGGTAAGTTCGGAGCAAATTCTGCAAAATGGCAGACACTTTTGAAATGTGCAAATATTTCAGATTATTTTCACTGTTTCTTTTGACCTTCATTCAAAGTACCCTTCTTTAGTACTTTTTTTTAATAAGAGAAAATCCTCCTTGAACAAATTCTCTATTTTATGTTTCTTTTGGAAGTTACACCAAATTTAAATATTATAAAATCTTAGACATTGTGAATGTTATTCCATTACTATACAAAATATACATCTATCCCCATTAAAAGTAGGGGATGAAAAATTCTTCACAAAGGTCCAAACAATGCAATCTCTCTAGATCATCACTCCTTCCTTCTCAAATAACTCGTTATCATGATTTTTATCATAATCACTGTCTTTCTTTTCTGTACAGTTCATAGCTCATCACCCTAGAGTGTATGTGTGAATATTAGCTTTGTTTTAAAAAAGTTTAATGCCTTTTAATTTTAATCTATAGGTCTCCTCTACCTTTCTTTCTCCCTCCCTCTTGCGTTTTTTCCCTCTCTTGTAATTTCTTTGTTGCAGAAACCAGATCACTTGTCCTAGAATGTCCAGCCTGGACTTTGGTGACTGCATTCATGTACTATAATTTAAAACGATTTCTATTTGCCATTGCTCTTGTGATATGATATTAGCAGATAAACCAATACCTAGATCCATCAATTTATACATCTATATAAAGTGTTGCTATCTGCTAATATTATTGCTCACCATCAATCCTTATGTCATTGTCTCTCTTGTCATTCTGGTTGAAAGATTTCATTCTCTGGTTGATTCCTAAGGAATGGCTAATGAGAACAACTGTCTCTGAATTCCTGTGTTTTTGAGAATTTATCTGTGCTTTTCATACTTGAAATCAGTTTGGCTGGATATAAAATCCTTAACTCACATTTTATTTCCTTGAGCATCTTGGATAAGAAGCTTCATTTCTTTGGCCAGAAAGCCAAAGCCAAAGTCTAGTAACAACATAATTTTCCCCCTTATCTAAAGTTCCAGATCTTATTTATCCTAGAAAAGTTTTCTTGAATTATTGTTTTTATATTTATTCTGTTCTTTTTCCTTGGCTTTCTTCTTTCTTCTCTTATTGTATGTTATGCTGGATCTTCTTTGCCTATATTCTATATATACATCTCTTGAATTGTTTTTCTCTCTTCATTTCTTTTTGGTTTTAAAAATTTCCTCCTTTCTGGTTTCTATTTATAAGGCATTACCTCTTCTATTTATTTGTGTTCCTTATGTTTTAGTCAGTATACATATCTGAAATATTTTTATTTCTATTTTTTGAGTTTGAGCATCTCATTTCTGAGGGTTTCTAATTCCAGCTTAACATGATTCTTTCATTTATTATACCTCTATAAAACAACTTTTACCTAGTTTTGAAATATTAGGTTAGAGTTCTCGTCTGTTTTATAGACACTTCTTTCGGGTATGAGTTCACTCTCTGCAGCAGCATTAGTCCACTTCTTATTCTCTTTGTTTTCATAATCATTTTATAGGACTTTTGACCTTAATCTTATTCTTTTGCTTATTTTTCTGTAAAATTAATTTTCTTAACCTTTTAGAATGGAGGCTTGACTTAGAATAATGTTTAAATTTTACATATTAAAAATATTCTTCCCTGAACAATTTTTTTTCAGGGGTAAGATTTCACACTATGTTAGCTTACTTTCAGAGATTTCCTGGTTCTGTTCATCTCCCCAGTTTTATCGGGGACATCTTTCTCCTTTGTTTCTATTGTCTCTGAATTGCTTAATTTGGATTCTATTTCCAGCAGTTTTTCCTCAGTGTATAGTTCTGTACTGGAGGGGAGCTTTGACTGGCTAGCTCTTTAGAGAGATATTAGGGCCCAGACTGCTATAGCTCCTTCTGCTCTTACCATGGACCATTCAAACTTACCTACAATTAGAGTATGCCATCCTCTCCCAATTTTAGCTACTGTAGTCAAATTTGCTTGCTAAGCTTTCAACACAACCTGTTGGTTATTTTGGACTTATCCAGGTATATCAGATGCCTTAGCGCTTTTTACTGCCTCCTCTGGCATAAATGCTGGTAGCGTAGTTGTCAGTAGTTCGTTTCTACTTTGGGGTTTGTGGGGATACTTCATGACCCAGTTTTGTTGTAAGTGTTAATCTGATTTTTTTACTTGCCATTTTTAGTCCCTTTATGTGTTTTAATGGAGAATTAGAGGAATGTTAAAAACTGCATTGACATTGTCATCTTTCAAGAATGGCACCCAAACTACAGTTTTTGGCACGGCATTCACAGAATATTTTGACTGAAAGATTTTCACCTGATTTTGAACAAAATACAATTAAGTGTAGAGCAGTGCTATTTAACTCTCCAAGATAAGGAGCTTGTGCCAGAAATAAACACACGTCTTTCTTCATTGAGAAAGTCTTGCTGCAAACCTATCTTAGCTCCTTTAAATGGGGTGTGTAATGATGTAGTAGATTTACGTTTTAGTACGAGCTCCTTGTTTTAGTACAAGCTCCTTGTCTTGTGAACCAGTCACAAACAGTTCATGAACCAGTAGCAAGTAGTGATTTACAGACTTGTTTTTAAGATAAATTCAATTTATAAAACAATTAGGTTAATTTAAAGAAGTTATTTGATGGCTCAAATCCAATTGATGAGCAGTAAAGAAAGACTGCTAATAATGACCTACTTAGTTATTTAAAAAAAATTCCACATTAGCTTTATTACAAAAATTTAGAGTTCAGTTACTCTAAATGTATACATAGAGAAATATTAGTAAATTTTAACAACTACAACTTTTACTTAGATTGATAAAATGTTTGGACACAGTTGTGAGTTACATGTATACTACACCTAACTCCCAAAACACTTCTGCTTTATACTTCATCTTCACAAAACATTGCTTTTCTTACCATGTATTATCGTGTATATTATATTGATGTATAATCAGTTTAAAACAAAATTATGTTAAAAGTTATGCTTTTCTTACCATGTATTATCATGTATATTATATTGATGTATAACCAATATAAAACAAAATTATGTTAAGAACTTTTAATCTTTTTTTTTTTTTTTTGAGATGGAGTTTCGCTCTTGTTACCCAGGCTGGAGTGCAAGGGCGCGATCTCGGCTCACCGCAACCTCCGCCTCCTGGGTTCAGGCAATTCTCCTGCCTCAGCCTCCTGAGTAGCTGGGATTACAGGCACACGCCACTGTGCCCAGCTAATTTCTTGTATTTTTAGTAGAGACGGGGTTTCACCACGTTGACCAGGATGGTCTCAATCTCTTGACCTCGTGATCCACCTGCCTCAGCCTCCCAAAGTGCTGGCATACAGGTGTGAGCCACCGTGCCCGGCCAAGAACTTTTAATCTTAATTGATATGATATTTACAGTAACGTTAGATGTTTCAACTATGTTAAAACGGCTTTCAAAAGCTTTTCTTGGATTTCACTAACTTTCTATTTGAAATATCTGATGGCACTGACATTATTTAATTATGAGATACTTTTCTGTGGACAGAGTATTAAGAGATATGGTTTCTGTTTTTATATAGACAAGAAAACTTAGTATTAAAGATGAATGAAATTAACTCAGAAAAAATTAAAAGGTATAAAAGAAAATTCAAGCATCGCAAAGTGATATGCCAATTCATCCTCTGCAGTTGCATCTGTTAAACTGTAATTTTCAGATAGTTTTTGTAAGATAACACCTAACTTTGAAAATAAATGCCTCTCTATCAGATTTGTGTATTCAGTCTAGTTTCGATTCTGATTTTCAGTGACATCTTTACAGCTCTCATAGTGGATGGTAAATATTAACAGGTATTTTGAATAAGTTATATATACATCGAGTTTTCTTAAGAAAAAGAAAATTAGAACTTGGTTTTCCACCGAATGTACACTTTCCTTTTTATATCTCTTTTTGCTATCAATAGGTGTTAATGCAAAATAAAGTCTTACAAATAATGAAATAAATAGTTGTAGACTTTTACCATGCATTAAAGGGGAAAACCACTGTAGCAAGGGTCTTCAGACTTTTTTCTATGTGCTGTACTAAAAGATGCCTCACTTGTATTTCTCAAATATATTTCACGCACATATAATCTATAACTTCCCACATTTCTCACCAACTCTGCCAACTAGTACTCTACTGGCTTCTTATACTTCACAGGCCACAGAACTGATTACTACCCCAAGTGGCTGGCTGGAGTAGCAATATTGAATACTTTCCCAACCGGTACCCAAATCCAAAAGTCAGCTATCTCTTGCTGCTCATATCTGCATATGTTTCATAAATGAGTGCCCCACAGCTGTCCTTGAATAGAGGTGTTATACTGAGCCTGGTAAAGGTCAGGAAAAAGGAAAGAATTATTATTCATCATCTTTTAGATTTAACCACATGCTAAAAGTAAGATGTTTTTTATATACTACTGCGAGAGAACACAGTAGAAGCTGGAAGTAAAAAGTGGAAGTTTATCAAATCTGTCCTGACTTGACTTCATGTAAATAATAATATGTCAATATAAAATAAAAATTCTGGGTCAAACACTAAACATTACCATAACATAACAAACTGTTTCCTTTAGTTAATGCTATCTGTGTCCTAATTATAGGCCACATGAAACATACAATAACATGACAAACTGTTTCCTTTAGTTAAAGCTATACATGGCCTAACTATAGGCCACATGAAAGGTTTTGTATTGTCTTATAAGAGTAATGTGGTATTATGATGAGTTGTAAGTAGGAGAATATGTTTGGAATTGCATTTTTCAAAGCACTTTGGCTGCTGTGTAGAGATTGGACTAAAAGGAATAAAAGTATATGCAATACTGCTTTTGATTAATAGTGGCAGCAGTGGTGGCAACCATTTATAATATACCAGGTTTTATGCTAATCATGTTGTACATATTATCTCAATTAATCCTCCAAACAAACTTGTTAGGTAGGTATTGTTCTTCCCATTGTATAGCTAAGGCAACTGAGAATTAGAAAGGTTAGGTAGGCCGGGCTCGGTGGCTCAAGCCTGTAATCCCAGCACTTTAGGAGGCCGAGGCGGGTGGATCACGAGGTCAACAGATCGAGACCATCCTGGTCAACATGTTGAAACCCCATCTCTACTAAAAATTACAAAAAATTAGCTGGGCATGGTGGCGCGTGCCTGTAATCCCAGCTACTTAGGAGGCTGAGGCAGGAGAATTGCTTGAACCCAAGGGGCGGAGGTTGAAGTGAGCCGAGATCGCGCCATTGCACTCCAGCCTGGGTAACAAGAGCGAAACTCCGTCTCAAAAAAAAAAAAAGAAAGGTTAGGTAAATTGCTTAAGGTCACAAAGCTGCTAAATGGTAAAGCCAGAAAGAACTCAAATATAATTCTTATTTGTTTTGAACCTAATTCTTCAAAATAGTCCTCTATTTTTTATATTTATTTTCCCATTAGACTTTTTGAGAGTAGCAACTATGTTTTAAAATAGCACCTAAAGACACTAGCACTTAAAAGCCCTCTACATCCAAAAGAAGTTCAATGTTTGTTGATTTAACAGTATTTATTTATAGTAAAGTAGCTTGAAATGTTTATATGGTAACATTTTGTAAGTTTGATGTTTTGCATTTATTTGAAATTAATAATGTCAGATTCAAAAATGCTACAATTTAGGATTTTCATCAATTTTAATGAAACTTCTATATCATTAATTTGAAAAAGCAGGATTTTACTGCATTTCACTTAGAAAGAAAAATGATTATATAAGTATAATAAACTTACTATCTCCCTTCAACAGGTTCAATGTCAAGGGTGTTAATTCCACCACCATGGATTCTTTCAACATCTCTGTCTTTATTTAACTCCAGTCCTAAAACTCTTTAAATTAAAAAGGGGAGAAAAAAAGAAAAAAAAATTAACAAGTAATTTAACACTTAAAAATTTTTTATTTAACCAAGATTACATATAGTACAAAAGTCACAAGAAATGTCTAAATCTACCACACATCCTAATGTATTTATGGATTTTTAGAGACCTTGTATAAATGTTTAAAATATCAACAGTAGTAACAATTACATGCAAACTTTTAAATGTATTAAAATTTGTATGAAAAAAGTTAAATTCTGATAAACGTAGCTGAGGACATCTAATGGACAAAAGCACAAATTACAGATTTAAAAGAAATTCCTTCAAGTGTTTCTTAAAGATGGACAAATAAAAAAGTATGGGCTGGCAGTGGCTCATGCCTGCCTGTAGTCCTAGCGCTTTGGGAGGCTGAGATGAGAAGACTGCCTAAGACCTGGAGTTTGGAAGCATCCCGGGCAATCATAACGAGACCCTATTTCTATAAAAAAATAAAATAAAAATAAGCTGCATGGTGGGGGGCTCCGACACAGGAGACTGAGGCAGAGGATTGCTTGAGACCAGCAGTTCGGGGATGCAGTGAGCCATGATCACTTCATTGCGCTCCAGCCTGGGTGCAGGCTTCTTTTAAGACAGAATGAGATCCTGTCATAAAGAAAAGAGGCTATGTTCAACTTAACACTTATATGTATTTAAATAAAGCCAATTAAATATCAATACAAATAATTAACAAGTACTCTCTCAAACTAAGACAAATGACATTTCTGATATTTTATAAAAGTAAACTATCATTATCCTAGTGAGCATATTATTAAGATTAAATGAGTTCATATATCAAAAGTGCTAATTACAATGCCTGCTACATTGTAAGTACCTAGTGAATATTAACTATTGGAATCTGTCTTAATCTGTTGGATGTTATTAGCATCTACACTAATTTAACTAGAATGATTTCTAAATTCATTATTGATTAAAATAATGCTAGTTTAAATATCAAATTTAAAATTTTTGGCCTATAAAATTGTCAGCTTTTTTAAAAGAAAAGACGACAATGCACAATGCTGGAAAAGCATGAACTGATACTTTCATTTATTGACAGTAGCACAACAAGTAATTATAAGCATTTTGGAAATCATTTTAGTTGTATAAAGTATATGATTTGAAGCTACATGGTTCTTTGTCTTCTAGGTATAACATATAGTACAACAATGTAGGCTGGACACAGTGGCTCATAATCCTAGCACTTTGGGAGGCCCAGGTGGGTGGATCACCTGAGGTCAGGAGTTCGAGACCAGCCTGGCCAACATGGCAAAACCCCGTCTCTACTGAAAACACAAAAATTAGCCAGGCCTGGTGGTGCATGCCTGTAATCCCAGCTACTAGGGGGGACTGAGGCAAGAGAATTGCATGAACCTGGGAGGCAGAGGTTTCAGTGAGCTGAGATCACGCCACTGTACTCCAGCCTGGGTGACAGAGCAAGACTCTGTCTCAAAAAAAAAAAAAGATGAGTAATGCCTAAATCTTCTACCATACATCTAAGCACATATATTGCAATTTAGCCTTAGGTTCAAATATCCAGACTGACTTTGATCAATAACAATAATAGCTAATATAAAAAGCCGGGCCGGGCATGGTGGCTCACACCTGTAATCCCAGCACTTTGTGAGGTTAAGGCAGGTGGATCACTTGAGATCAGGGGTTCAAGATCAGACTGGCCAAGTCTCTACTAAAAAATAAAAAAAAAATATCTGGGCATGGTGGTGCATGCCTATAATCTTGGCTATTCGGGAGGCTGAGGTAGGAGGATTGCTTGAACCCAGGGGACAGAGATCACGCTACTGTACTCTATACTACAACCTGGGTGACAAAGCAAGCAACACTCTATCAAAAAATAGAAATAAAAAAATAAAATAAAAATAAGTGTAATAAGTGATAATCCAGGGGTGTTAATTATTATTAAATACATTTCCTGATTATAAGATTAATACATGAATAATTTCCCCAAGGTCACACAGCTAATATTTGGCTGAGCTGCATTTGAACTTTAACATTAACAAATTTTTTTTAATTTTAGTTTTAGAGACAGTGTCTCCTTCTGCCACCCAGGCTGGAGTGCAATGGCAAATCACAGTTCCCTGTAGTCTCAAACTCCTGGGCTTAAGGGATCCTCTTGCCTGAGCCTCCGAAATAGCTAGGACTGCAGTTGCATGTCACCACACCTGGCTAAATTCTGGTATTTGTTGTAGAAATGAAGTCTTGCTATGTTGCTCAGGCTGGTTTCAAACTCCTGGCCTCAAGCAATCATCTCACCTTCACCTTGAAAAGTATTGGGATTACAGGTAGCCACCACATCTGGCCCTGAACTTTGACATTCTTTCCCCAGACCACTTCATTATTTCATTAAAAAATTTGTTTTTCACATTTTCTGAACTTCAATATTTCATTAAAAAATTTGTTTTTCACATTTTCCCATTGAAATTGTTATTTTTCTGAAAATATTTTTCCATTTGATCATTTTTCAAATTACAACAGATTATATACTCTTTGTAACAAGTAAAACAATATCATAGAAACATGTACAAAGGTAATCATCTTTTCCTTGAGCTCCCTCTTCTTAACAATAAGAAACATGGCTCCCATTATTGTCAATATATTTATCAATCCCCTGTATGTAACCAATCTCCCATCTCCACTACCATCCCTTCCCCTAGCAGCTTGGGCTCTGAGTTTTATCTCCTCTAAAATCTGTACAGTCCCCAAACAAAGACTACTTTCTCAACCTGCTTAGGTTCTGAAATTCCACTCTAGGGAACCTAATCCCATATTAAGTGAGGAAGCATACCTCTCCCCAGCCTAATGACTTTAGCACTGAATTGTTTGTAAACTAGAAGGAGAGGTTAAGATGAAGGAAAAGGGGAATAATACTATAAAGGGAAAGAGATGTGGGGAGAGTAGCAGAAGGCAAGGTGCACAAAAAACAAGTTAACGTGGCAGGTCTGAGAATGCTACCCTTAGAAAGTTCTGCTTACAAGACTGTCCCTTGGCTACAGTCTGGGATTTCAGGAGGGTGGCCACTATGACTGGATAAGAATGGTTCACTGTGCCTAAACTACTTGAGAAAATAATGTCCTTTATGATGAACACTTGCTTTTCTTTTGGAAGTCTGGAATTTGGGTACAAGCTAGATCGAGGGTGCCTTTATGAACAGTACCCAGTAAAAACTTTCAACATTGAGTCTCTAATGAGCTTATTTGATAGACATTTCACACATGTCACAATTTGTTGCTAAAGGAATAAAGTGTGTCCTGTGTGACTCCACCAGGAAAGGATTCTTTGAAGCCTGTGCCTGGTTTCCTCCACACTTTGCCCATACACCTTTTCCCTTTCCTGAGTTTATCTTGTAACCTTTCACTGTACTAAATCAGTCATGAGTAAATGCTGAGTTCTGAGTCCTTCTAGAGAATCATCAAACCTTGGAATGGTATTGAGGACTCCCCCCAACACAATGGCATGGGAGTAGAGGGAAAGGAGAAGGGAAAATGCCAGAGGAGAGAGTGAAGAGTAGACTGATAAAGAAGGGAGGGTAAAAAGGAAAAGAGAGAAGAGGGAAGGCAGAGGAGACCGGGGTAGAAGAATAAGGAAAAAAAGTAAACCCTGGTATATTTTAAAATCACCTTTTCAATCTCTTTTCTATATCACAGCATTGCATACTTGTTATTAATGGCTAGCATTCACTTGGCTTGGTTGGTTTCCATACCAAACTGATTGCTAAATATTTTATCAGTCTCTTACCTCTTCTATGGCACATGCTTGCCCAAATTTTCTATTTAATTTCACTTTTTACCTTTATCATTTACTTTTTGCTTTAACGTCTTTAAATGGCTTTTATAGAATGTATATTATATGTATATTTGTAGGTATTTTCTTTTTTTGAGACAGAGTCTCACTGGGTAGCCCAGGCTGGAGTGCCATGGCGCGACCTTGGCTCACTGCAACCTCCACCTCCCAGGGTCAAGTGATTCTCCTGCCTCAGCCACCAGAGTAGCTGGAATTACAGGCACCTGCCACCATGCCCAGCTAATTTTTGTATTTTTAGTAGCAATGAGGTTTCACCATGTTGGCCAGGCTGGTCTCAAACTCCTAACTTCAGGTGATCCACCCTCTTTGGCCTCCCAAAGTGCTGGAATTACAGGCATGAGCCACTGTGCCCAGTCCCTGTTTTTTCTATCTACTATATACTCTTTATTTTAATGTTTTTTAATTTTTAGAATTTTTTAATCTCAATAGGTTTTTGGGGAACAGGTAGTGTTTGGTTACATGAATAAGTACTTAAGTGGTGATTTCTGAGATTTTGGTGCACACATCACCTAAGCAGTATACTCAGTCTTTTAACCTTCACCCTTCTTCTACCATTTCCCGAGTCCCCAGAGTCCATTTTATCATTTTTTTTCTTTTCTTTTCTTTTTTTTTTTTGACACAGAGTTTTGCTCTTGTTACCCAGGCTGGAGTGCAATGGCACAATCTCGGCTCACCGCAATCTCCGCCTCCTGGGTTCAGGCAATTCTCCTACCTCAGCCTCCTGAGTAGCTGAGATTAAAGGCATGCACCACAATGCCCAACTAATTTTTTGTATTTTTAGTAGAGACAGGATTTCACCATGTTGACCAGGATGGTCTCGATCTCTTGACCTCGTGATCCACCCGCCTCGGTCTCCCAAAGTGCTGGGATTACAGGCTTGAGCCACCGCGCCTGGCCCCATTTTATCATTCTTATGCCTTTGTGTCCTCATAACTCAGCTCCCACTTATGAGTGAGAACATACAGTGTTTGGTTTTCCATTCCTGAGTTATTTCACTTACAATAATGGTCTCCCAGTTCCATCCAGGTCACTGCAAAAGCCATGATTTCATTCTATTTTATGGCTGAGTAGTATTCCATTACATACATACACACACAGACACACAACATTTTCTTTAGCCACTTGTTGACTGATATGCATTTGGGCTGGTTCTATAT